TTTTCACCCACTGGTCAATATAATTATCATATAGTCTCAGCTAGTATTCCTACTTTATATATAGTAAAATCTGAGTTAGTATGTTTTGGGCTGAGGTATGGTTCAAGTGATATAGCACTTGCATTGAAAGTACAAGACCCTGGGTTCAAACCTAAGTACCAACAAAAGTAAATAAGTATGTTTAAAGATAAGAATGATACTATTTAAAATTTCTTCACTGTATCACTTCTTCCTTTCATGAATAAGTAGTTAATCTTTCAATTGTAAGTTGTAAAGGCTTGCTAAGGAAGGACCCAGTACTTGCTAGACAGTTGTTCTACTTACTGAACCACACCTGTAGCCCTCAAAGCATAACATTTATTTTCCAACATGTGTGTTTGTGTATGCACGCATGTATGCACACATGCACGCGTGCACACACACACACACACACACATGCACAAGTGCGTCCTAGGGCTTTAGATCAGGTCCTGGACACGGTTCCTGAACTTTTTCTTCTCAAAGATAGTGTTCTAACACTTGAGTCACAGCTCCACTTCCAGCTTTTCAGTAGTTAACTGGAAATGAGAGTCTTTTCTGCCCGGACTGGCATATAACCATGATCTTCAGATCTCAGACTCCTGAGTAGTTAGGATTATAGGCATAGGCCATGATTATAATTATAGGATTATAGGTATAAGCCTGGCTACTTTCCAACTTCTTAAGTACATCTCAGATCAGTTACATCGCCATTATATTATTTAATGTTATTAATTTATTTTGAAAATATGCTTTATAGCAATATAAAAGAAAAGTTGAACTTAACTTTTACCTAAGTGGTCCCAATGGTGTCCATAATCAGGTAAGCTAAAAAAAAAAACAAAACTCTTAACCAGGGCAGGTAAGTAAACTCTGCAATCACAAACACAGGAAAAATACTGGGAGGAAAGTGACAGATTTTTCCATATATTCACTTTTATTCTCCCAGCAGTCAACTGTGACAGGCATGCGCGCTGCTACCCACAGCATCTGGGATGTTTCTAAGCTTCGGTAACTCGTGTTCTTCCCATTATTCTGTCTTGTTGAATACCTTACCTAAGCTTACCTTAGATAGACATGTTTCCTGACTTACGGTTAACATCTACTAATAACTACGTGTTGTTTTCACCTACTTTGTCAACATTGCAATAAACAAATAGCTTAGGTTTTTGTTTTTTTAGAGAATTCTCATTATTCTTTGAGAACATCTATTTAATTCAAAAACAGCAGAGAAAAAGGCAGGCTTCTCATGATTTATGAAGCAATACTGCCACCTTGTGAACATACCAAGGTACACTGCCCTAATATATGGCTTTAGTCTTCCCTGACCAAAATTCTCAATAGGCACTAACAGAATATGAGCTACAGAAGCATTTTCTATTTGTGTTATGTCTTGCAGAAAACTGAAAATATGTCCATCTTATCTCATACACAGAAATTAAATTATTTTTTGCATGTAAAATGGAAAATGAGATCAAGAATTTACTCATTTAACACATATGTATTAAGTACCAGCTATGTCCTTGTATGTAAAGCCAAAAATTCAGATTAAGGAGACTACTCACCATGTTTATAGCATGTAACACATTATTCATGTGTTAGGTGAAAACTTGAAACACCTCATCCTCCATAACTACATAAGCCAATTTCCCCCAATAAATACCCTCTTCCAGACAGAGGGAGCTGGAGCCTTATAGCTCCAGTTGTAGAGTGCTTGCCTAGCATCCATGAAGTCCTAGGTTCAATTGCCAGCATCACACACAGACATACAGACACACACAAAATAAATAGGTAAATAAATAAATAATAAAGCTACAGCTCTGGGTAGGTGTAGATATCCTATTAGTTCTGCTCTTTTAGAAATTTCTTATTAACAGAAGTAGAAAAGACCAAGGCTTTGATGGGTTGGCAAATTTGGCGGCCACCCAATGAGTACTTTAAACTAAATCAAAGAAGTAGACTCAAGCCTCAAACAGGAAGAAATCAAATGTAAACCAAATCCTAGGGCTCTCTAATAGAACCTTCCATTGTAATGAAAATGTTTTCTATCCCTGCTGTCAATATGGTAAGTATTAGACTCATGTGCCTGTTGAACACTATTGACTACTGGATTTTTTTACTTTTTTAATTGTAATATAAAGTCACCCAGTGGCTAATGGCTACTGTACTAAACAGCATAGGTAAGAGGAAGGGAAGAATTTACAAAGGGGCAGGAAGAAACACTTGAGGTTGTCAGTCATGTTTCATGGGATGAATACCTGTTAAACCATATAAATGAACATTTCAAAAATTTATTATATGTAATCTCATTAATTTAAAATGACCTCTCTCTCTTTTTTTTTTTTTGGTTCTGGTCGTGGGCCTGAACTCTGAGCCTGGGTGCTGTCCCTCAGCTCTTCAGCTCAAGGCTAGTACTCTACCACTTGAGCCACAGTGCCACTCCTAGCTTTTTTTTTCTGCTTATGTGGTGCTGAGGAATCGAACCCAGGGCCTCATGCATGCAAGGCAAGCGCTCTACCACTGAGCCACCTTCCCAGCCCATGACCTCTTTTTTTGTCGGTTGTGGGGCCTGAACTCTGGGCCTGGATGCTGTCCCTCAGCTCTTCAGCTCAAGGCGAGTGCTCTACCACTTGAGCCATGAGCACTTCTGGCTTTTTCTGCTTATGTGGTGCTGAGGAATCAAACCCAGGGCTTCAGGCATGCAAGACAAGCACTCTACCACTGAGCCACCTTGCCAGCCCTAAAATGACCTCTTAAAAAAATTTTTTTTAAAAAAGCTCACTTCCACATACCTCTAGCAATTACCCAAATTTCCTATCCTTTATGGGGGAAATAAAAATCTCCAAAAGATTTCTAAACATTTCCAGAAGACATGTTTCTACCTCATTCTCTTCTTTACTACTCTCCACTTCCTTGCTTCATGCTAGCTCCAGACCATTTTGTGTTGTTGTTGTTTTGTTTTGTTTTTTTTGTTTTGCTGGTCGTGGGGCTGAACTCTGGGCCTGGGCGCTCTCCCTAAGCTCTTCAGCTCAAGGCTAGCGCTCTACCACTTGAGCCACAACACCACTTCCAGCTTTTTCTGCTATGTGGTGCTGAGGAATTGAACCCAGGGCCTCATGCATGCAAGGCAAGCACTCTACCACTGAGCCACCTTCCCAGCCCCTCCAAACCATTTTGTTATCCCAATTCCTCAGGCAGGCTACTGCCTCAGGACCACTTCCTCAAGAGCACTGTTCAATTTTCATCTGTGAGGTCTTCCCTAACATTTCCTATAATCTGTCCTGACTTGATAGTTCACATCACAGAGCACTAGCTGGCCCACTACATCCTGTTTACTGAACACCCCTTTAACAAGAATATTAGCTCCAATAGAGCAGAGATTGTTGCTTATTTTGCTCATTGTTAAAACCCCAATTCTCTGGATTTGAATGTGTCTCCATAAATAGGACTCCTGGCCTTAATCATGTGGTTGTAAATAAACGAAATCCACTCTCAGTCAATGAGGCAGAAGAGAACTCATCAGGGGATTGCACAGAGTTTCATGGACCCCTGGGGGAAGAAGTTATAGCCAGAGTAAGTGAGTAATCAAGAGTGCAATCTGATGAAGCAGGATGAAGTTTGTCTCGGTTTTCTCATTCTTCCCACTCTACAGACCAGTTCTTTCTGCTAAAGACCCCAACACAGCATCCCCACATTTTCCACTTAAATCTCAACTCAAAAGAGCAAGCTTGAGTCAGGGGTTTAGTTTAGAGTCAGGCCACAGTTCCTTGACTATGGCTAAAGGAACAGGTCTAAAATCATCTGCTGCCAGTTTTTAGTGTCTGAGGGCATTCTTTTCAAATGCTCAGCATTAAGTTAGAAATATTTCACTTTGAAAACTACTACTTTTAATAGCCACCTTCAAGACACTCTTTAATAGTAGGTAAAATTCATTCATCTGAACAAGCTAAATTAATGAGGTTATATACAGGTACTGAGTTTTGAACTTAGTCTCCAACCCACGAGACAGGACCTGTACCACTTGAGCCACACCTCCAGCCCTTTTTGTTTTACTTGCAGATAGAAGTGTGGTGCTGCTGTGACCATCTTGTTGAGATGGTGTCTGCTAACTTTTGTTCTGGACTAGCCACAAACCCCAGTGATCCTACCAATCTAATCTCTGCCTCTCAAAGACTGAGAGTAGAGATGTGCACCACAGCCCTCTTTTGCACAACTTAATATCATTTACATTTAGGAAACTTGACACTTTAAAAATGCTTGACTCAGTATTCAAAGCCTTCCCAAGTGCTTAATTCTTAATATAAAACATAATCATTTAAACATATGGTGACTTCCTAAGTTCTTGAAACATTCCAGTATTTTTGCAGGCTTAGTAACATTTTTAAATACCTTCCAACTAAAAATCCCAAGCCTAAAAAATCTGTCATTTTAAATTAGAATCTTAAGACCAATGTTACACATCCTAATAGGTCAATTATGTTAAAATATTTCAAATAGCCAGTATTACTCTCATTGAATACTAAATCTACTCCTGAACTTACCTCAAAAGTATCAATGACTGTCAGGAACTGTTTGTTCAGGAAGCCATCCAGAGGATGGAGGTTCAAAGCCAGCCTAAGGCAGAAGTCTATGAGACTCCATGTCCAAAATTACCAGTAAAAAGCAGAACTGGAGGTGGCTCAAGTGACAGAAAGCCAGCCGAGCAAGCAGGGAAAGTTAACTTAAGGCCCCAGTACTACTAAAAAAATATAGCAATGAATATGAAAATTATCTCCTAATTCTTTTAACCTTTTGTAACTGATACATATTTAAGAAACACAGACTTTACAGAAGTTCTGTTAAAGGGAGTGAGTAGTTTAGACACCCCACAACCATTGCTGCTATGATGAACTCAAGCTTGGAGACTTCAAGAGTGAATTACTTTTGTTAACTCAATGTGAAACAAGAATAATTCCAACTTTGGGTGGTTATGGCGAGAAATGAAGTATCGTACGATAAACTCACATGTTGCAAAACAGACAGCAGCTACATTTTCAGGGAGAAATTCAACTTTTACTAGTATGCAAATTACTTGTATTCTTATGAAGTTAAATTTTAAAAACCTTTGATTAGAACTTTAATTTACACTTGTAAACCTGAAAACAGTTTGTGAGCCTGACTAACCTCATAAGCATTCAGCTCCTAACTTCTCAAAGCCATGTTGTCTAATTGCAGCTCTCCATTTATAAAAGGCAAACTATGCCATTTTCTTGAGCTCTTATTAAAACCTGTAAGTATCCACTTTCTTCATTTTTAAGATAAAGTACAGATTTACAAAATTGAATTTCCTCTAAGGATTCTTTTGGCTCAAGACATTTTTATCCATCCATGGGGGAAGAATGGAAGGCTGTGGGAAAGGTGGCATCTGTGAATCAGTGTGCTGGGGGTTACCAGCCACTTTCAGGAATTGACACATCTGAGAATGCCAAGAAGAAAATAAGAATCTCTTTATTTTAAAAATGTGATTTACATTGAACTTTCAAAAACAATTATTTCCAAAGAAAACTACACCGGTCTGGGGTTCCAAACTACAAGATGATTATGAAGAACAGAGGTAAAAAAAAAAATCTAAGTACAGATCAGAGGTTTACAAGGGTTTAGATAGGTGCAAGATAAACTCTAAATGTAAATGGGCTAACTCACCATGCAATAGAGAAATGACAAAATTTGTCATTTCAATTACCTAACAGCAAGGTGAAAATGGGGTAGACAGGTTGCATCTTTGAAAGGAAGGGAAGAAAATTGGTGCAGTATGGTCTCTCTGTGGACCATGTTCTGTTAAAGAAATTAGTCAAGATTAAAGAAATAAAAGCCAGGTGCTAATGGCGTACAACTGTAATTCTGGCGGGTGAAATCAAGAATATGAAATCTGAGAATTGAGGTTCAAAACCAGCTAGGAAGGAAAAGTATGAGACTCTTAATTCCAATTAATCACCAAAAGGCCAGAAGTGGAGCTGTGGCTCAACTGGTAGAGTGCCTTGAGAAAAAAACGCTGGAACACAGCACTCAGGCCCTGAGTTCAAACCCCAATACTGGCATACACACACAAAGAAAAAGAAAAAAGAAAAAAAAAGATTAAAAACATGGGGTAGAGGGCCCCAAAGCTACCCTATCACATTCCAAATACTTATTCAGTATCAGTTATTTAGAGCTGACCAGTGATTTGGCACAACTGGTAAAGACACAGTCTAGCACCAGCAGAAGGAGAGATGATAAAGGGAGCCATGATAGTGAGGAGAGGAGGGAGGCAAATCAGAGACCTAGACTGAGGCAGTCACTGATTAGAGTGAATTCAGAAAGTTTCCTTGTTGCCATCTGCTGTTGTTACTTTCCAGGCCAGAAGTAACAATACAAAACAAAAGGGGCTCCATTCTTTTGGCAGGATTCCTAGTCGGAACACTCTCCAGAGAGGCTCATAACTGAAATCCCATCTGAATGCATAACCCAAATGCGGATACAGAACTTTGCTGTATTAAAATCAGTATCAACTCATCCAAACAGATAGGCACTGTGACCACAACAATTGAGATCTTCTAGCTGAAGATGCCATAAAATAATTCAAATTATTACATGGAAAATCCATGTCTTAAAACAGGTACTTATTTTCCAAGCATAATTATTCCAGTCTCTTCCATAAAACTGCTTCTGTAAATAGTCTCTCTTAATGTATCAAACAGATTTTCTTTCCAATAGTTAATGGGGTCAAAGCTATTCCAAGTTAGGAGTTCTTTAAGCAAAAGCTATGATTCCATCTCCTTGCTCTCTAGAACTTCAACAGACGAATGTCCCAACATGGAAGTGCTTTCATTCCTTGTCATGGTGGCAAAAAGCATGTCCATCATTCCCAAGGTTTCTAGGAGCTCTCTTTGGTAATCAATCTCTTTTTCTACAAGTCCTTGAAGTATTAAAAACTTTTTATCAACTACTGGTGACTGTCCAATCACAGGTAGATATATATCTAAAAAGAAAGAGAAAGCATTAACTGAGAACACTTTTCTATACACAAGTGAGAAGCAATATTTATTAAAAGTATAAAAATAGTGAATATAAAGACACTGAAAAGTATGTACTTACATATTTATATATTAAGTTTATGATTTATAGAGCATAACTTACAGAAAACAAAACAACTCATCTGAATAAATGCATTTTAAAAAGAACCAATTACACAAAATGCAGACTATGACTTATTTTCACTTTCCCCTTAAAAATTAATCACAAAACAGTTATGAAGATTGAAAACTGCAGATACCTAGTGTTTTCCTGCATCTCAAAGAATCTGAATTAGGGCTGGGAAGATGGCTCAGTGGTAGAATGCTTGCCGTGCATGCATGAGGCCCTGGGTTCGATTCCTCAGCCCCACATAAACAGAAAAAGCCAGAAGTGGTGCTGTAGCTCAAGTAGTAGAGCACTATCCTTGAACTGAAGAGTTTAGGGACAGTGCCCAGGCTGAGTTCAGGCCCCACAACTGACAAAAAAAAAGAATCTGAATTAAAGTACCATGTGGCTAGTTCTAGGGATAGGAAGATAACATGAAAAGGCACAGGAGTGCAACAGTAAACAGCAGACAGAGACCAGGTATGCTACAAATACTGAACTTTGTGAAAGAAACAAAGGACCACCAGGCAGGCTCATGCCTATAATTCTAACTACTCAGGAGCCTGAGATCTGAGGATGGTGGTTTGAGGCCAGCCCAGCTAGAGAAGTCCCCATGAGACTCTTACCTTCAATTAACCACTCAAAAACCAGAAGTGGCACTGTGGCTCTAAGTGGTAGAGTGCTGGCCTTGAGCAGAAGAGCTCAGGGACAGAACCCTGACCCTGAGTCCAAGCCCCAACAAAAGAAAAAAGGAAGGAAGGGAGGGAGGGAAGGAGGGAGGGAGGGAAGAAAGAAGGGAAAAGAACCCTAATGCTGGACACTGGACAACTGAGTAGAGGACAGGGAGAATGCCCCTGTGCTCAACTTTAAGCAAAAGGGAAAAGGAAAGCTTTTGTGAGCTCCATGGGTGCAATGTGGCACCCTGTAAAAACATGATTTAAGATAGACTTGTGATCCATATAGCAAAGATGCTGGAGAAGGGGGCCCTGCACCTTCTAGCTTGCTCCCTGGTGCTGTAGTGGGGCTCATCTGAAGAGAGGTCCTACCAATCATCAAACCTTTGATAAGGGGAGCAAAATCCCCAGCATTTCTACATGTCCTAATCTCAATAGACACCTCTCAAATGGCTCAAATGGTAGAGCATTATTAGCTTTGAACAAAAGAAGTTCAGAGACAGTGCCCAGGCCCTGAGTTCAAACCCTAGGACTGCCCCGCCCCACCAAATCTGAAAAATTTATTTCCAAATTTGACATTATTTGACACCTCTAGGTTGTTTGGTTTTCTTTACTTTTTTGGGGGGGGGAGGGGTGGGATCATACCTAAGGCCTCATATACACTAAGCAAGTGCTATAACACTGAGTTACATCCCCAGCCCCAATACTTCAACTTTTACAAGAATGCTAGGGTGTTTGAGTTTTAACAACTACTTACCAATAATTATTTCAGCAGCATTAATCAAAACAGGGGCAAATCTTGGTTGAGACAGATTTCTGCAAAGCAAAATTTCTACTTAATAAAACTTGAAAATTTTCAGAAAAATCCCTTAAAAAAGATTTAATCACTCCAGCAGATTATAAAAATGTGTCTCTTACTGGATGATAAAGGAGAGTCTGAGATGCTAAATCCAAGTATCTCATAAACATAAAACATATATACCTTATCAAAAAATTAAGGACACGAGTGATTTCCTTTTCATCTCGCCCTGCCAGGGCATTTGCAAGAACTCCTCTTCGATTTAGCTCCTTTATAATGGATACTGTGACTTCAGGTGTTTTTATTACACAATTAGGCTGGAAAAATGGTCAGAGTCAATATAAGCAGAAAAACAACACAAGAAAAAAAACACTGCTGTGCATTAAATTACCAGGTTTACTTTTATAATTCCAAGTCACAGTGATAAATAAGTCAAGTAGTCAAATTTTTTTTTGTGGGGGGGGGGCCCGATTTCATACTCCTCCTGCCTCAGCCTTGCCAGTACTAAAAATGAAGATATGCACCACCAAGCTCAACTACTAAAATCATTGTTTTAAAAATGTTCCTCACCATGATAACCTATACGGAACTCTAGGAATTCACACACAAACTGTCAAACTAAAGGAGGATACCCTTAGGGGAGGAACCCAAAAGTGTAACTTCTTTTAACATTTAAAATACTATTTATCAAAACAAATTCCAGGAAATGGAAATATGAATTTTTGGGTAGTGGTAGAGTTTTTGCTTTTGGTGTTTTTTGTTTGTTTGTCTTTTTAGGGGAGACAAAGGAAAGGCATAGAAAGGGAGGGACAAAGGGTAAACAAATGCAATCATTCTATTCAGTATATACTATGTGAAAAAATAAACTATATAACTTGTGGGCAGGGATGGGAAGGGGAAATTGGGGGAAAGAAGGAAGGGATGACATTATCTAAAAAGAGAGATGCACTCATTACCTGACATAAAATGGTCATTCCTCTATATAACACCTTAAAAATAACAATAAAATTATATTTTTAAAAAATGCTCCTCACTTACCTCAAGGACTCTGTCAAGAGCCTGAGAGACCCGAAAATTTTTTAGGTCTCTGTCATACAATTCTAGGTGTTTCTTTGTTGGCCTTGTGATCAAAATGTCATCCTAAAGTAAATTTAGACAGAAGGAAAATCATTATCTATACAGTTCCATTCAAAATACACATTTTAATAATAAAGTAATACTTTTTAAAAATAAAGATGCTTTACACTGTATTACAAATTATGTTCATATGCATATAATCTAAATTTTTAAAAAATGGAATGAATAATTTGCCATATCAATGTGCTTTTATGACATTTAACTTAGAAAATACAGAACTTTCTCAACTCTGGGCAAAACTACTCATTTCAACTTTCTTTGTATAGCAACAAGTATAATTTAGTAAAATGAAAAATAAAACAAAAATCAGAAATATTAAGACTAGTCCTAACATCTCCAGATGTTAGGATCTATCAAAATGTCTTTGTGCCTCAAAAACAATGAAAAACCTTTGGAACAATTAATATACACTAAAACAAATGAATACTGAAAAGTAAATAGGTTCTGTCAGAATGAGGAAGAGTGAACAGACAGGTAAATGAGGATAAATATGGCCAAGAGTTACTTGCATATATGAGAATAGAATAATGAAATGTGTTAATAATTATTTTAGAAAGGGAAGAGAGTAAGGGAATGATAGAAGAGGTGAGTTTGATTGGGATACATTGTATGCCTATATGGAAATGTCAGAATGAAACCAACCACATTGTACAACTAAGGCATGCTATCAAGAAGTATTTAAAAAAATATAAAAATAACAAACAAACAAAAAAAACTTGTGTTAACTTAATCTTCCTAAGTACAAATAGAGGAATTACTAATTAAGAGTTGTTTAGAAGGTCAAATCAGATAGTATGTGAAAAACAGTTTCACAGTGGTAAGGCATTGTATTACCATGTTATAACTATAAACAAAGTAATGCTTGTTGTCCATTCTTCAATAACATCATCAAATTTAGCAACTGGGCAACAATCTTAGTGTGGCCGAAAATAAATAGAATACCATGTGAATTATGATTTCCAGCCATGTACAGAGATAGAACTAACTACTCTAAAAATGTTACATTTTAAAACCATGAGAAATACACAATTACCCGTTGCTTCATGTAATTCTTTCCTTTAATAAAGGTTCGGTATGCAGGCCTTCTCCTCCTAGGAAAAGAATCTTTCTTTGTTTCAGACTTTCGATGTTTAACACTGAGTATTCCATTGGTCATTCCTACGACGATTGTCTCATCTTCATGCTAATAGCAATCAGAAAAACAAGTTAGTCTATTTCTAATCAATAATTTACAGTATTTTTACTAAGTAACTTCAATACCCTGTTTCTGCTTGTCCCATACTATCACCAATAGTTCCACCCAGACTTACTCTGCCTAACAATTATCTATGCAAAATGTTAAAAGCAAAGTCCTTATACTACTATGTTGATAGAACATTGTATCTATGTAAAATATCACTAGCAAAGTCTGAATAATATTAACAATATATATATAATGTAATAATATAATGCTAAAATGCTAATGAAATCTTAGCAAATATCAAAACAATTTTTCTACATCACTGCACAGAGGTATCACTTTCCCTAAGCTTTCCCCTATAATATTTTTTAACAGGATTTCCTCTCCCAATTCAGATTTCTACATTATTCAAATCTCCACCTAACCAAAAGCAGCTACAGGTGAAACTTGATAGTGCACATTCCAGCCAGCACTGTCAACCAACAAAAAGAGCTATTTCACTTTGTTCTCCTTCCTTTACACAACACTTTTGTCTCTATCTCAGACTTTCTCTTCTAAAGATAGTATCTTTGAATTTGTTAAATAAAGATCTGGCAATTGCCTAGACCCTACTGTTATTGTTAGCAAGGTCTACAGCACTGTACAATGAATGAGACCTAAATCAGAACTCTGCTAAGTTATTAGGATAATACATATTCTAGCAATTGTCTTCATTCAAGTAACTAATATGGTTTATTCAAACCCAAAGATGAACACTAAAATTTCACTTTAGTTTCAATTAGCAGGTAAAACTAGTGATAACTTTAACAGAGCTAAAAGTACTTACTGCAAGTGCAAGACTTAAAATTGAAGCGGTATAATCAAAACTGTGGACTACTTTGTAGGAAGTTGTACTGTATACTTTGACCTTCCTAATTAAAAAAAGAAAGAAGAAAGCTTTGTTAAGAAACAAAATCAACTTGGAAGCCAGGTATTAGTGATTCACACCTGTAATCCTAAGTACTCAGAAGACAGAGATCTGATAACCACAGGTTGAAGCCAGCTGAGGCAGGAAAAATACTGGGATTTTTATTTCCAATAAAGTAACAAAAGCCAGAAGTGGAGTTGTGGCTTAAGTGGTAGAGCACTAGCTTTGAGCAAAAGAAACTCAGAGGCAGCACCCAGGCCGAATGTTACACACACACACACACACACACACACACACACACACAAACACAAACACACACACACACACACACACACACACTCTCTCTCTCTCTCTCTCTGTCTGTCTGTCTGTCTCTCTCTCTCTCTCTCTCACTCACTCACCTTGGAAATGAGTATGAAAATTTCTACTATTTTGCAAACTCAAATATATAATTCACTATATAAATATTAAACTCAATATATAAACATTAAAATTCCCACAACAGTAAAGAAAAACAATGATGCAGTGTGTTACAAGGTATATCATCACTGAATCCCTTAAAATGAACTATATTTCAGCTACTAGAACAAAGACTAACTGGACATTTAGGAAAAACACCAAAGGACACACCACAAATCAGATAAAACTTAGAAATGAAACAAAAGTATCAATGATATCCACTGCTGAGTGGAAACAGGAGTTCTCACCCTCAGCAATATAGATACTTCTGGGCAGAGAACCCTGTGGTATGAGGGCTCTTCCATGTTCTGTAGGTCATTAACAACATCCCTAGCCTCTCTATTTCCTACTATGGCAATAGCATGCCACCCCAAATTTGTGACAAGTAATCATGTCTCCAATTCCATAACTCCAAGCTAAGAAGCATTGCGAACAGAGCCAATTTACACTTAACTTTTTTTAGGAGACATCAAAAAAAATTATCAAATTACAGAGAAACACCATTACAGAGTATTTTACATGGTTATATAGTAAGTTCATATGGACTAAAATTATTTCCTAGCTTTAAAGTACTTACACTTTTCTAATACACATGCTGAAAACCAAGTCTTTTCATAATAGTAAAGAAGGAAGGGAAATACAGAAATAACCAAGAATAGATGGATTTAAGTCTACAAATGTGCCACATAGTTCTACTTACATATGACTACTGAACCATGAAATGTGTAATTTGTTTTATTGAATTTTTTTTTGTCAGTCATGGGGCTTGAACTCTGGGCCTGGGCTCTTCCTGCTTTTGCTGATTAATTGGAGATTGATTTTTCAATGACTTCACTGCCCAAGCTGGCTTCCAACTTTGATCCTCTGGATCACAGCCTTCTAAATAGCTAGGATTACAGATATGAGCCACCAGTGCCCAGTACTTTTAGTGCATATTTTACTTAGCTGCTAAGTAATTTATATAATATATAATGACATTTCAACATTTATCAGTATATAATTATTAAGACACATATAGAGACAAATTAAGCTTCTAAGGCATACATTGATATAATATTCTACAACTATTTCAATTTTAAATTAAATTAAAATTGAATAAAACAAGCTGGGCACCAATGGCTTATGCCTGTAATCCTAGCTATTCAGGAGGCTGAGATCTGAGGATCACAATTAAAGCCAGCCCAGGCAGGAAAGTCCATGAGATTCTTATCTCCAATTAACCACCAGAAAATCAGAAGTGGCACTGTGGCTCAAGTAGTAGAGCACTAATCTTGAGCTGAAGAGCTGAGGGACAGCCCTCAGGCCCAGAGTTCAAGCTCCACAACTGACAAAAAAAAGAAAAAAAGAATGTAACCTGGAATAATATATATGCTTATAATAAAATTTTTACAACATAAACTCACAATGATTCTTAAATAAACTATAGAATAAATTACTGTAATGATTAATGCTCTAGACTGGTGGAAGGGTGATTATGGTTAAGAAGCATTATATACATAAGGAATAGATTTGTTAAAATGAAACTCCCATATACAACTAACAGATATCAATAAAAACACAAAAAATAGGAAAAAAGACTTACTATTCAAGTAGGGCAATAACATTGCTTAAATAGAAGCTAAAGCAATATATTATTTTAAGGATAAAAATATAGATATAACTAGATTTCCACTCTCTATGGAAATCATCAGAACATTTATCACTGATGTTGTTAAAATAAATATTTTCTCAAGAAGTAGCACTTGTGTACACTTATAATGACAAAGAAAGAAAATGAAAATACTAACCTATCTAGTGAACCAGAGAGTAACCTCTGACCCGAGCTGCTCAGACACAGACACGTCACAGTTTTATGATGATTTTTCAAAGACACGAGCAACTGTCCTCCTTTTAACAAGTCCCAGACTTTAACAAAACGACCTCCTAAAAACAGAAATAATCATTAGATTGATATTCCACCTATGTATTAAAAAATTTAAACATCAAAAAGTATTGTTCACTGGAATTCCCTAGAGTAGAGGCTAAGAGAGGAAACCAGACTGCCTGACTTAAATCTTGGCCCTAAGACTCAGAGAGAAAGAGAGAGAGAGAGAGAGAGAGAGAGAGAGAGGTGTGGCTAAGGGAGGAAACCAGACTGCCTGGCTTAAATCTTGGCCCTAAGACTCAGAGAGAGAGAGAGAGAGTGGCTAAGGGAGGAAACCAGACTGCCTGGCTTAAATCTTGGCCCTAAGACTCAGAGAGAGAGAGAGAGAGAGAGAGAGAGAGTGTGGCTAAGGGAGGAAACCAGACTGCCTGGCTTAAATCTTGGCCCTAAGACTCAGAGTGAGAGTGAGAGAGAGAGAGAGAGAGAGAGAGAGTGTACTAAGTTCTACTATCTTGATGGACTAACTCAGATAACAGGTACACAACAGCAAAGTGCCTGGATAAGGGTAGGTACTCAACAGATGTTAACAGCCTGCCCATTTATCAACTGTTTGAAAAACAGGTATGTAATTCAAGTGAACACTGCTAAGTTATACATAGTAACTGATAAAGAAAAATCGAATAAGATACTGGTGAAAGCTATGTTTAAAAGAAATACCTGAAGACACCAGAAGACCTCCAGAAGGGAAAAGCAAGACACTCTCCACTGGCTGTCCATGCTCCATAGAGAGAACACTTTCATTTGTTCGTGAATCATACATCTTCACAGTATGATCATAGGACCCTAAAATGTAAAATTTTTATCTCAAATTATACATGTATGTATTCAGATATAAATTTTAAAAGAAGAAAACCCCTCAGATGAAGTTTTTGTTTGTCTTTTTTTAAGCCAAAAGGCCAGGTATAGTGACATATGCCTGTAAGCTCAACTATTCAGGAGGCAATTAGAAAGGTTTCAATCCACAATCAAATCAGGAAAAATCATATGATTCTACCTTTAAAAAATTAATAAATAAGCCCAAGCCAGTGGCTCACACCTGTAATCCTAGCTACCCAAGAGGCTGAGATCTGAGGATTGTGGTTCAAAGCCAGCCTGGGCAGGAAACTCTATGAGGCTCTTATCTCTCTCTAATAAACTACTCAAAAAAGCCACAAGTGGCACTGTGGCTCCAGTGGTACAGTGCTCATCCTGAGCAAAAGAAGCTCAGGAGCAGCATCCAGGCCCAGAGTTAAGCCCCAGGCCCAGCAAACAAACAGCTAGCAAAAGTATTGGTGCAGGATTATAGTAGAGCACTTGCCCAGAAAATGCAAGACCCTGAGTTCAAACCTCAGTACCAAAATATAATCATGTGTTTTTTCCTCACAAAAATAACAGTACTTCAAATCTTCTTGCCATTACTGATTGTTTCTGAAAAAACACTACACAACATTACACAAATTCTAACTTGCTTTGATTATAAACTATCCTTATCTGTATACTACTATCACTGTGGAATCCTCTGGGGATGCCCGTATAGCAACCAACAAAAAAGTGAACTATACTTAAGGATATTGCAGTGCCATGGCTCTGGAGGCTCACTAAAAACCAGGGTGTGACCCACTGCAGATGCCTATTATATTTTCTTTTTTTTGGGGGGGGGGAGGGTCCGGTCATGGGGCCTGAACTCTGGGCCTGGGTGCTGTCCCTCAGCTCTTCAGCTCAAGGCTAGCGCTCTACCACTTGAGCCACAGAGCCACTTCTGGCTTTTTTTCTTTTTGCTTATGTAGTACTGAGGAATCGAACCCAGGGCCTCAGGCATGCAAGGCAAGCGCTCTACCACTGAGACACCTTCCCAGCCCGCCTATTATATCTTCAAGACAGTCTGAGATATCCAAACATGTTTGAGGAACAAGAATCACCAAAAGGAGAAAATTTTTAAAAAACTGGATCATTAATTACAAATATATTTTTAAACTTTGTGTACGATGCTGAGAATTGAACCCAGCACCTTATAAAACCCGGGCAAGTATTCTACCACTAAGCAACACTCCAAGCTCTAAAAGTTGCATCTCTCCATCCCAAAAGAATCTCATAACCATGAAATAAAGTCCACCTACCTGTTACAAAGATATCTGGGTTCAGTTTGCTAGCACATCCACACCTCACATAATCAGAATGTTCTTTCAATGTCAGAATTTCTTTGGAGTTTGGAATATCCCATAATTTAACTGTATAGTCATCAGCTCCAGAAACCACATGGTATTTGTCAGCTGTAAAATCCACTGTATGAACTGCTCTGAAAAACGAAAGGTCAGTTTATTAAAAGATAAGAAAAAAAACTATAATCCTTGCATAGTCTAACATAAAATGGTCCTTTCCCAGAGTTTCAAACAAACAAACAAAAAAAAAAAAACAAGAAAAAACAAAAAGAAACTCCATTTCAGAGAATATAGGAGAAAAATCATGTGAAAAAGAAAACGTTTTTAACAGTGGTATTTTAAAATATCACTCTAGGGGCTGGGGAGGTGGCTCAGTGGTAGAGTGCTTGCCTTGCATGCATGAGGCCCTGGGTTCAATTCCCTAGCACCACATAAGCAAAAAGATAAAAGCCGGAAGTGGCACTGTGGCTCAAGTGGTAGAGCGCTAGCCTTGAGCTAAAAGAGCTGAGGGACCCCACGACCGGACCCAAAAAAAGAAAAAAATAAAATATCACTCTACTGTCAAAAAGAATATTAAGAAGCAGTTTTAATAGTATATTTTCTAGTAAGTTAATCATTCTACTAAACTGCCTAATAAAAAGAAAATTTGGAGAAAAAGGCACATTCTTTAATAGAAAAAAACTTGCTGATTTTTTTTTTATCTAAAGAAAGAGACACTAAGTAGGATCAGATTAAGTGAACTGCTGTTGTTTCAATTAGAACACCTGAGTAGCACAACTGTATATTGAATTTTAAAATTTTTAAATGAAGAGTTCTCAACAATGATATTGGTAATCTTGAATCAAAGTTACAATATAAAATTATAACAGCTCTTTAAATTACAAATCAATCAAGAAAGCCTAACTTGACTTCAATGTGAAAACCTTAAAGATAGACCCAAGCTTACAAAGCAAGCATTATAGCTATGTGGACACCTTTAGAGCAACGATTCATAACCTCCTGCCCTAGATCACACACTTACTGGAAAGTTAGTAGAAGCTACACTAGACGTGTATGTGCTCATTTCCTAAAATATCACAACAATCCTAATTCATGAGTCCTACAAACTGGACTGTTGATCCAAATTAAGTTCTGTATCTCAGGACAATCAGAAAATAAAGTACACACAGGTACATAATCTTCATAGAATGGCTATATTTTTATTCAAGGCCCAAAGAGAGAGCTTTCAACAAAAATAGATAACCAGTTGACTCTTACTTTGTATGGCCTTCAAATTGTCTGAGTGGGGCCCTCCCACTTATATCAAAAAGCTGAACAACACCATCTTCACTTCCAGCCACAAGCAACTGACCATCCTGTCGGAAAGTGGCACTGTATGCTGTGTCTTTAAAACGTGAAAAGGTTTTTATAGGTTCTTGGGAGTATCGACCATAAATGTGAATCTATAAGACAAAAAAATAAATCAATAAACAGTATTTCACCAAATGACTCAAGATCAGCAGAAAACTATATAAAAGTGAAGAAATTTACTATTGCACTTACTCTTGAAGAAGCTGTTACTGCATAGTTATATGGAGGCTGAGGAGAAAAGTCTACTTTTGATACTGCACCAAATTCCTTAATCTGAACAGGGGTCTTAATGAAAAAGAACAAAGTATTAACATAGTTACAACTGGTGACAAGGCCTATTTAAGCATTACATAATTTCTTATAGATGGGTTTCTTTGTGTTCTTAGTAACAGTAGGTTGCATTTACTTTAGCAATACAAAAGAAGCAATAATGATCTATATCCCATGACTAGAGTATACTTGTTGCCATTAAAAGTAAATAAATAAATACAAACTAGAAAGCTACACCTGTCTTTTCAGCAGCCAAATTTACCCCAATTCCTGTCAGGAGGGTGGGGAGTTATGACTATACCAGTATACATTTAACTAAGATTTAAAGTAACACAAAGATGATTATACTACACAGTCAATGAAGGCAGTTCTATACCCAGTTTTCACTAACTAACTCATCTCAGCTAACTTTTCATACAAGTGGCAGGTTTAATATCTGTTTATAAGGAAATATCATCATTTACTGTATCAGCCTATTATTAATGGACACAAAATTTACAAAAATTCTAATATTAGCTGAGCATGGTGGCTCTCATCTATAATTACTACTGGGAGGTCAATTATTGAAAAGATCATGGTTTGATGCCAACCTAGGCAGAAGGGTCCAAGAGATCTCCTCTCAATAAAAGAAACTGGGCACAGTAAAGAGAACCCATCATCTAGCTATGGTAAGAAGTTTAAAAAAGGAGGACTGTAGACCAGGTGGTACAGGCTTGGGCAAGAAGGGAGACTGTATCTCAAAAATAACCAGTGTTGGGGGGGAGGGGGATCGGGTGGAGGGAGGGAGGTGGGGGGAGTATGGGAAGAGATAAGAAGGGAAAACGAAGAGGAGGCAACAATGCTTAATAAGACATGTACTCGTTATCTTGCCCATGTAATTGTAACTCCTCTGTACGGTAGTCTCACAATAAAAAATAAAAAATAAACCAGTACCAGTAAAAGCTGAAGGCATGATGCAGCTATAGTATACCTGCCTAGCAAATACAAGGGCCTGAATTCAAACTCCAGTACTACCACCAAAAAAAAAAAAAGAAGAAAAAGAAAAATTTACTAATACTAAACATCTTTATACAGAATACAGATCTTAACAAACTTTTGAAAGTATATTTATTAAATATGTGAGAGTGTAAGGAAGTGGTGCTATGGCTCAAGTGGTAGAGTGCTAGCCTTGAGCTGAAGAGCTCAGGAACAGTGACCAGGCCCAGAGTTCAAGCCCAATGACTGACAAAAAAAAAAAAGGCAGATACATTTTTTTCAAATCATAAAAGATATTGTCAAGTTGCCATCCAAAACATCACCAATTCCCTTCTTTCAAGTAGTAAGGATGATCAAAATGCTGCATACATGCCAATTTAACAAATCAACATAGTATTAATTATTATCTTTTATTTTTTATTTATGTGTGAAACTGGCCAATATATTCCAATGCCCAGTTTATATTTCTGGTTTCATAAACTTCCCCAATCCCAAGCTTTTTCCATTGATCTATTTAGTTCTTTTAAAAATCTTATGTAAACTATACTAGACAGTACTGAAGAATCAATTTAGTACTTCTTTCTTGTATGAAATTCATATTTAAATCATTTGGCCTTGACTAATCATATATTCTGTGCTAAGCATGTCTACAGTTAAGATGATTAAGCAGTCCATACTTTTATATAATATGTTAAGAAAAAAGTAGCTTCTCAAACACTAAGGTGCTCACAAACTATTAATAGATAGTTAATAGACAGTTAATGGACAGTTAATAGATATGCCAGCATATTTGAAGTACAACAAATGCTGGACAAGCTGCATAAATGAATAAAGAAATAAACATACAAATCTCCTCCCTCCTCCCTATCTTCCACATACCTTATAGTTGTTCCAGTACACAGTATCTTGTGTGATCTTCTCACCAAGTATAGGATAGGTTTGAATAGCTACAGGCTTATAACCAGACATTGTTACATATAATTCCTCTGTTTTCTAAGACTTAGTAATTTGGTAGTGATATTAGAAATAATTCCAGTGACTCCACTTTCGGTCTGAAAAAGAACATGTTTTAGAGCATGCATTATTCATAAATTGTGTCCACAGGTATGGTTTTCATTCTGCTTTCTTTCTGTATACTGTATAGAGTTTTTAGGCTAGTGATCCAACTTTACAAGCCATGGAAGGCCAGGTTTCCAGGAAACCTCTGTTCTCTGAGGCAGGGTCCTGTCCATGACCTCATGTGACTCTTAATTCACGTAATCATACTGCAATGAAATGATCTCTCTTCTTTTTTTTCCCTTTCCTATTTTTTATTATTTGAGATAAGTGTCTTGCCATGTAATTCAGGCTGATCTTGAACTCACCATCCATCTGCCTTAGCCTCCCAAGTGCTGGAATTACAGGTGTGTGCCACTATGCCCAGCTTGTAACCATCTGCTTTCCTGTTAAATTGGACAATTTGCCTGGAAGCTTTTTTAAGTGCTCAAAGAATGCATGTGGAAGGAAGGAAAGGAAGCGTTGTGCAAGATTCTATGGAAAAATACAAAATTAAAATCACAAGTAGAGTCTATAACATGAACAAATACTACACAACAGGAGTTCAAAAACTTTTTTCTGTAAAAGGCTTGATGGCAGTTATTTTATGCTTAGGAGGCTAACATGCAAAACAGTTACATATATTTAGAGAAAAAAATCTCAAATCTTATTAACAATCTTCTCCAAATAATTATAAGTACAATTTTTATGAATGAAAAGAATGGAATTATCTGTAGGCATAGGACATGTCACCTAATTCTAGGTCAATCTTAGTACTTCCTATTACCAAATCGACTGCATACGCTCATCTGTCAAAAAGCTTTCTTGGCTAAGTGGATAACAAAAACAGGTCCTCAGACAGATCTACCCGCTAGGCCCACTGCTCTTTTTTACAATATAGGAATGCCACCTAGATCTGTCTTTTTCTTTAGTTTTTATTGTTATTATAAAGGTGATGTACAGAGGGCTTACAGTTAGATAAGTTAGGTAATGAGTACATTTCTTCTTGGACAACATCACCTCTTCCTTCGCTCTCTCCCAGTTTTTTTTTCACCAGCCCCCACTCACAAGTTGTACAGTTAGTTCATTTTCAACATAGTGTCTGGTGAGAACCATTGCTGCTAGCAGTGTCTTACAAACGAAGAGCAGTAGCAGTGGCTCCGCGTGCGGAGAAAAGGGACACATATCCATGTAGCAATAAATGATGCGAAAGTGAGCAGAAGGACTATGATCCGGCCGAGGTCAGACTAACAGGTAACTAACCCAGACTAGCTGCATAACAGGTACTACTTCTCTGTGCACTGCAATGCTGTGTCGACGAGCAAATAACTGCTCGGCGTCAGCTCCAGAGAGAACGATTTTTAATCCTACCAGAGGAATGTAAAAGATGGAGAAGAGGAATACTCGGGCAATCGACACGGAAGGAAAGACAGAGATGGGAAAGTCCGCCACTGCCTGGAAGCGGTGCGGAATGCCCGGCAGACGCAAAGCGGTGGGCTGGACCCGACACTGAGAGGAGGAACACACGGTGTGACAGAGACCCGCGGAGCCTGGCCCTCTCCAGCGGAGGCCCGGAGGGCGCAGGCCGCCGGGCCGGCCACCGCAGCCAGGCCCGAGGACGTCGGGGCCATCCTCAATGGAAGCCGCCTTTGCCTACCTCTGCTGGGTCCCGAGGGTCCGCCGAAACACTCCGGTCGCAAGGAAACCCCCTTGGACCTTGCCAGCTTTCCTAAACCAGATCTCTCGGCACCCGGACTCAAAAGAAAAAAAAAACACGCGGACCTTCAGGGAGCCGGCAGCAGGGAACCGCGCATAGAGATGACATCACGGCGCATGCTCAGAAGACTCCAGGCACCGAGGCAGGCGGGCGAAGAGGAGGGGCGGGGCTATAAAGTGGGCGGGGCGTTCCGGAGGAGAAGGCGTGGCCGGACGAGGACCCGGCTGGGGTCTGGCCCCTTAGGACCTAGAGCTGTCAACTGACAAGGCGCTTTCTCCGTAGTAACCGGGTAGGCTGGACCGCGCCGCGTCAGGACCGGAGCAAATAATAAGAATAAAGCTGTAAACCTGGAAGTGTTTTTGATGACACTGATCTCAGAACATTTTTTTGTGTGTGAAAGAGAAAAAAAAAACTCGGAAGTGACGTCGCGGCCCAACAAGCCCGAGCCTGCGGGCCTGTGCGGACTCGGGCGGCGCGCGGGAAGGCCGGGCTCGCTCTCTGCCGTCGCCGGTGGCCGCGAGGCCGCCCTGGCCCACCCTGCGCGCCTCCCTTCCGCGACCCCAGCATCCACCGGCCGCCTCCGAGCGAGCTTCTATCCTCCGGCCACACCGGGGAACAGGTGGCCGGTGGCGACAGGGCGCACTTCCCATTCTGCAGGTCCCCACTTGAGCGGGCTCCTGCTGGGGACACCGGGACACCTGTCGCCGGTAAGGCCCGATTTATTTTCCTAGCACCTTCCTGTCCTGGTGGGACAACGTCAGGGTTACACAGAACGAGGGCAGGGGCGGGGGCTGTGCCTGGCCTCCACTGGGGACTAGCACGGTTGCCCGCTAATGTCTGGAGGCTCTCCTCTCCTTCCATCCTTGGACTCTTGACAGATCGAGGTGAACCTAGCCCAGGGGCCTCCTCTTAACACCTAGAATGGTAGCTCAGTGGTGCACACTTGCCTCACTTGCAAATAATATAGATAGAGATATAGAACTAGAGGTAAAGGAAAAATAGATGAGATATAGAATACTTATACATATATGTTTGTATATGTGTATGTAATGTTAAGAAATGAACCTCAAGTCGAATGTTAAAGTTTTAACATGAAAGTTTATTTTTACTGGGAGCTTGATCTTTGTATCCATTTGGCAGCCGGGAGAAAACTACTAAAATGTGTTGGAGCCTAGAGGCGAAAGTAAAAATGTTACTGTATTTCATTTGCTCTTTACCAAAGGTCTGATAAGGTTAATAGAAGCGTCCCTATTTTACTAACAAGATTGAGCATCTAGACTGGCGCTGTTGGTTCATATCTGTAATCCTAGCTACTCAAGAGGCTGAGATCTGAGGACCACGGTTCAAAGCTAGCCCAGTCAGGAAAGTTTGTGAGCCTCTTTTCTCCAATTAACCACCAGGAAACCAGAAGCGGAGCTGTGGCTTAAAGTGGTAAAGTGCAAAAAGAGCTCAGGGACAGTGACCAAGCCCTGATTTCAGCCCCTCTACCGACCAAAAAGAGAAAGAAAAAAAAAAGGCTCTGGGAGTTCAGTAACTTGTATAGGTCACACAGCCAATAAATGCAAAGCTTAGGTTCATATCTAGACTCCTTCACTATATTTGATATTCTTTCTGTTACATTTCTTGGTCTTACAAGTTTGGATGTCTAATTGAAAAACAGTTTATGTACCTTTACCTAATAGACATAATACTTTTAATTTTCTATTTTTTTGTTTCAGGTTTTTTAATATCCAAATTAAAGAAGACACTGGATAAAGATTTTATAAATCAAGAAATAAAACAGAAATGTTTTAATTATTGAAACCATAGTCAAAATCATGGCTTCATCAGCAAATCTGGACCTTGGAGCCCAGCTGATAGTGGAGGAGTGTCCCAACAGTTACAGTCTTCCTGGCATGCCAGACATTAAGATAGAACATCCACTGGACCTGAATTCAGAAGAAGGATCTTCTCAAGGGGTTGCCATGGAAATGAAATTCATTCTGCCCAATCGATTTGATATGAATGTGTGTTCTCGATTTGTGAAGTCCCTGAATGAAGAAGACAGTAAAAATATTCAAGATCAGGTTAACTCTGACCTGGAGGTGGCATCAGTCCTATTTAAAGGTTGAAAGTTATGGTATAAATATCTGCATTTGTTTTTGTTTATTTGGGTGGGGTATTTTTGTTCATTTGTTATAGGACTTTTTCCTCATTTTTTATTAGCATCAATTAGTGTACAAGGAGGTTGTCTTTTATTTGTTCTTCCATCATGATATTTGTAGTTTGGAAAGAGTTTGGAGATTGTCTTTTTTTTTTTTTTTTTGCAGTCATGGGGCCTGAACTCTGGGCCTGGGTGCTTTCAAAACCTCAGCTCTTCAGCTCAAGACTAGCTCTCTACCACTTGAGCCACAGTGCCACTTCTGACTTTTTCTGCTTATGTGGTGCTGAGGAATTGAACCCAGGGCCTCATGTATGCAAGGCAAGCGCTCTACCACTGAGCCACCTTCCCAGCCCCTGGAGGTTGTCTTTTAATACAATTTTTCAGAACCTCACAGAAACCAAAACTATATACCTAATTTTAAAAGAGTACATACCATTTAAAAAAATCTTACTTAGTCTTTAAAGATTTTTTAATAAAGTTTTATTGTACCTTTTAAAAATCATAGAAGCTGAGCACCAGTGGCTCATGCTTGTAATCCAATTACTCAGAAAGCTGTGATCTAAGTATCACTGTTCGAAGCCAGTACAGAAAAGCCCATGAGACTCTCATCTCCAATAGACCACCAAAAAGCTGGAAATGGAGCTGTGACTCAAGTAGAGCTGTGGCTCAAGTAACCTTTAGCAAAAATGCTCAGAGGAGGCATCCAGGCCCTGAGTTTAAGTCCTAGGATCAGCGCGCGCACACACACACACACACACACACACACACACACAAAACCATAAGAGAAAAAAATATTCTTCTTCCTATTCAAAGAAACTTGCTTAATATTCCCTGTCCCACAAATATCTAATTTCTATTAGCTTCCAATGCTTTATTTCAATAGTCTTTTTTTTTTTTTTTTGGGTCCGGTCGTGGGGCCTGAACTCTGGGCCTGGGCGCTGTCCCTCAGCTCTTCAGCTTAAGGCTAGCACTCTACCACTTGAGCCACAGCGCCACTTCTGGCTTTTTTCTTATGTGGTGCTGAGGAATCGAACCCAGGGCCTCAGGCATGCAAGGCAAGCGCTCTACCACTGAGCCACCTTCCCAGCCCCACATTTTAAAAACTTTGAATCCGTAATTTTTAATACTGAATCATTGTAGAAGAAATAAAGTTTTTCTGTTTAGAAAATATTCTGAGCACTATGGGTATGTGAATGAAAAATAACCAGTTAGCAATTTGATATTAGTAACTGTTTTTAAAACAATAATGTTAGTGTATCTATATGGTTAGTGTATCTATACAGTCTCTTGACATCTCTACTTTGGAAATACTAAATCCTTTCTGATATTTGAGTCTCATGGCATACAGGTTGAGCTAGAAGTCTCCTCCTAGGGCTCTTACCCCACCAATTGGCCATTTCTGGTTCATTTTAATAGTCTTGTATTTATATCCCAGGTCTTTTCTTTGTGTATGAAGGCTACCTATTCATATTACTAAAGTAAATAGTCATGCAATACTAACTGTTTAAAAGAGAACTCTCAAGAGCTTTCTTAAAATATTCCAGTCATTCAACTGAAAAGAAACAAAAACCTTTAGACCATTTGGTTCATATCCCTCATGCTCCAAACAAAACCATCTAAGATTGTATGGCTAGGTAGCTAAATAGGCTTACTCTCAATTATGTCAAGGTCAGTTTTCTCTTTATGATTTCATCTCTCTTAATGTTCAGAAAAACCCATGGAGTCTTGGATTAAAAATATTTAGGACTGGGCACCAGTGATTCACGCCTGTAATCCTAGCTACTCAGGAGGCTGAGACCTGAGGATCATGGTTCAAAGCCAGCCCTGGCAGAAAAGTCCCTGTGAGACTCTTATCTCCAGTTAACCACTGAAAAACCAGAAATGTCACTGTGGCTCAAAGTGGTAGAGTGCTATCCTTGAGCTCAGGGACAGTGCCAAGGCCCTGAGTTCAAGCCCCTCAAGCCCATATAGATAGATAGATAGATAGATAGATAGATAGATAGATAGATAGATAGATAGATATATGTATGGTTTGAGAGGTAAAAAAAAAAATAGGGTAAAATCAGGGTATTGTGGCATAGGCCTGTAGTCTCAGCTACTCAGGAGGCAGAGGTAGAAGATGGCTGGAGCCTTAAAAAGTTTGAGACCATTCTGGGCAACACAATAAGACCTCCCCTCAAACTTTTTTTTTTTAAATTTAGGACTTCAGATGGGCACCAGTGGCTTGTGCCTATAACCTTAGCTTCTCAAGAGGCTGAGGTCCCAGAGAAATACAGTTTGAAGGCAACCTGGAAGAAAAATCTGGAGGTTTTGTCTATAAAATAACCAGCAGAGGGGCTGGGAAGGTGGCTCAGTGGTAGAGCACTTGCTTTGCATGCCTGAGGCCCTGGGTTCGATTCCTCAGTACCACATAAGCAAAAAGAAAAAAGCCGGAAGTAGCATTGTGGCTCAAGTGGTAGAGTGCTAGCCTTGAGCTGAAGAGCTGAGGGACAGCGCCCAGGCCCAGGCCCCACAACCGGACCCAAAAAAAAAAAAAAAAAGCAGCAGAAAGCTGGGCTGGGTGCATGGATTAAGTGGTAGAGCTGTAGCCCAGCAAGCAAACTAAGCAAGCAGAAGACGCTGAGTTCAAAATCCAGTATATAATAATAATAATAATACTTCAATGTAATCAAGTTATAAGAAAACAAAGGAGGTGAGACACTGATGGCTCAAAGCTGTACTTCTAAGCTACTCAGGAGGATGATCTCTGAGGATCGCCATTCAAAGCCAGCCAGGGCAGGAAAGTCCATGAAACTCTTATCTGCAATTAACTACCAGAGAACCAAAGGTGGCACAGTGGCTCAAAGTGGTAGAGCACTAGCCTTGAGTGAAAAAGCTCAGGGACAGTGCCCAGGTCCTGAGTTCAAGCCCCACAACCAACGATAACAAAACAAGTGCCCAAGTGCCTAAGCTATTCCTCTGAAATAAATTTCATTGAAAATAGCAATTTGCAGATGTAAGGTTACCATCTACAAACCTATGAGTCAATTTTCTCATGCAGAATGTCAGGATGTACTCCCCTGTTGGTTTTTGTTTTGTTTGGTTTGATTTATGCTGGTCCTGAGGCTTGAATTCAGATCCTGAAAGCTGTCCCTGAACCTTTTGCTGAAGGCTAACACTTTACCTCTTCAGTCAAAGTTCTACTTCCGGCCTTTTTGTAAGTAGTTAATTGAAAAATAAGAGTCTCTTAAGATTTTCTTGCCCAGGCTGGCTTCAGTGATCATCAGATCACAGCCTCCTGTATAGTTAGGATTACAGGCGTGAGCCACCAGTGTATGGCTCCCCCCTCATTTTTTTAAAATGATAGTTTTGTTATGGTAAAATATCTATTCTGCTAAAATGATAGTTTTGTTCTGGGAAATAAATTTCTTGCAGAAACTTGCGCCACAGGACAGTGGCTATGGGCCCTGCGGTGAACATTATACTGTGTTATTGTTTCAGCTCTGTCTGTGCACCAGTTGGCAGCTCAGGGAGAGATGCTTTATCTGGCTACGCGGATTGAACAAGGTAATAGCTTAGTTTCAAAGACTTTATTTTAAACAAACTCAATAGGATTAAGGTTGTTATTGTTTTATTTTAGTACAAAAAAGTATAAGGACGAAAGGAGTTATATTAGCTATACCAGGAAGATATTACATATAAGAAATATATGTACACCAGCTGTGGAAGGCGGCAACAAGGCTGAAGATTGCTCTCCACCCTCCTCCCTCGGCCCCTGCACCGCCTCACCCCTCCTCCAGGGGCCAGGTTCCGTGAAGGTTTATTTGTGTCCCTTTCACCCAGCGGACTCAGAAGGAGGCGGCTAAGGCCTCCAAGCCTCCAGTTTTTGAGCCCTGGTCTTTTAAATAAAGTTCTTTGAAACATTTTTTTAAAAGGAAATATATGTATATATAAATACATATATGTAACAAAAAGCAAAAAGTTTCCCTTACCTTCTAGTCTTCCCCAGAAGCAAATATTGTAAGTTGCTTGTATTTTTCAGAAACTTTTTTTAGGAAACATTTCTATTTCTATTATTCCTCCTCCCCCACCCCTTTTTTTGAAGTAGTGTCTTTCTGTGTTGCCCAACCTGGCCTCAAATTCATAATCCTCCTGTTTCAGTCTCCCAATTGCTGGAATTAACATGTGTGTACTCCCATGCTCAGCTATTTCACAACTTTTTATAGTTTTAGCCTTTTTTTTTTCTTGTTGGTCGTGGGGCTTGAACTCTGGGCTTGAGCACTGTCCCTGCACTCTTCAGCTCTACTGCTTGAGTCACAGCACCACTGCCAGTTTTCTAGTGGTTTATTGGAGATCAGAGTCTCACGGACTTTCCTGCCCGGTCTGGCAGGACTGTGTTAGCATTCTTTTAAAAATACATCCATTGGTTAAATGTTCACAAGTAGATTTGCTGGGTCAAAGGAAATAGAGATTTATTTATTCACTTGTTATTCATTCATTTATGGTGCTGAAGATTGAACCAAGGGCTCACATGTGCTAAGCAAGTGCTCTACCACTGAATCACGCCCCTCTCCCTGAATTTTTATTGTTAAAATAGCCAGATATTTGCCTTCCCTCTAGAGTTAGTTTGTATTTCCCTATATCCTCACTGACATAGAACAGTATCAGACTTTCATCCATGGGTAAAATGGTACCTCAGAGTAATTTCATTTATATTTTTAAGTGCTGATCTCTGAATTTATTTTTACATGAACTGCCTATAATATATTGATTTATAAATTAAGGGAATTAGCTTTTTGTGATTTATGTTGCCCATAGTTTCTTCCTAATTTCTCCTGTTTCCTTTACAATGCTTTGAATAAAGGCTTAACATAGTGGTAAATTCACTTTTTTTCTATATGATTTCTGAGATTTTTACCCTGCTTAGAAAGTTTTTTTGTTTTTTGTTTTTTTGGCTGTCTTGAGGCTTGAACTCTGGGCCTGTGCACTGTCCCTCAGCTCTTCAGCTCAAGGCTAGTACTCTACCACTTGAGCCACGTGCCACTTCCAGTTTTCTGGTGGATTATTCGAGATAAGAGTCATTGGACTTTCCTGCTTGGGCTGGCTTTGAACCGTGATCCTCAGATCTCAGCCTCCTGAGTAGCAAGGATTACAGGCGTGAGCCACCGGTACCCGGCTTTTAGAAAAGATTTCTAGGGCTGGGAAGGTGGCTCAGTGATAGAGTGCTTGATTTGCATGCATAAGGCCCTGGGTTGGATTCCTCAGCACCACCACATAAGTAGAAAAAATTGGAAGTGGTGCTGTGACTCAAGTGGTAGATCATTGGCTTTGAGTTGAAGAGCTCAGGGACAGTGCCCAGGCCCAGAGTTCAGGCCCCACAACCAACCAAAAAAAAAAAAAAAAAGGAAAGAAAAAAAAAAAGGTAAGATTTCTATTCCAGGATTACATACAGATCCAACTATTCTTATTATAGAAGTTTGACGTTTTTCTTTATTCATTTTAATCTTTGATTCTTATGAAATATATTTTAGTATACTGAGATAAAGATCTAGATATTTATTACTGTGGTTTTCATTTTTCATCAAGCTAGGCAGTTGTCCCAACATGGTTTATTGATAGTAGGGAGCAAGATCAAAGAGTCATGTCACTTTTATAAGACTTAATATTTCTGTTGGTTTTGGAAATATTCCCTTTCAATCTATTGAATAAATTTAGGAGGAAAAAAGTGTAGATCAAAACTAGTAGACTGTAAGTCTGGTGGAGAAAATGGATTTCCATGTCAGATTATTCAGATTATTCAAATTATTCAGATTATTCAATCTTCATCCATACTCTACTGTGTTAACATCCACATGAATAAGAGAAATTCACAAGCAGCAATGTTAGCTATAAAGCTGAAGATAGCTTTTAAAATATACTAGAGTTTTTATAGTAGTATATATTCAGTTTATGCTACGGGCCATTTTATACCATTTCCTTGTTAATCCTCCCAACTATATATTAGCAAAGCTAATTAATCTGTGATTAGGAGAATTAACTGACTTACCTAGGACCAAACTACTAGAAAGTGAGAAATATAATTTAAACTCTCTGAGACCACTGTTGACTGCTTTATACCTTGTATGATGCTATGTCTAGTAATTTGTGCTATAAGGAATATGGTGTATGAACCCAGCATGTAGACCAAAGCACATTGTAATACTTTCAGATGGCCAATTTCAAAAACATAATAGAACTTCTACAAAGAAAATGAGCTTTATTAAAGCAGCTAATCAAGTTTTTAGAATGCCAGTGATTTCATAGTACTATTAATGCATGGTTGTTAAATTAGATCACAAAAATTGCTTTTCTTTTAAATAGAAAATGTTATCAATCACACGGATGAAGAAGGATTTACTCCTCTGATGTGGGCTGCAGCACACGGGCAAATAGCTGTGGTAGAGTTTCTACTTCAGAATGTAAGGAAAATGCCTCAGAAAATGTATATGTATAGTTACTTAAGTTCACTCAAGTCTTTAGTTATAGTTTTTGTATCTCCAGCCAGCTAGACACAATGATGGAGGACATAAAAATGTTTGAATGCCTTTCATATTCCTGTGGAACTTGGACGTAGTTGGGAAGGCAGTGTTAATCCTACACAGAGCAGTGAGAGATAACCTAATGTCCAGATCCCTCTCAGGGCAACGACAACAGCAGTATGATCAGCCATGGAGGAGAAGGCTTCCTGGAGAAACTGTGACTTGACTCTAGTGAAAGGAGAATTAGGATTGAGACAGAATAGGGAGGAAGGAAAAAGAAGAACGGCATCCACACAATTTTAGTACTAATGAATAAACCATAAGACATGACCTGGCTTCAGTGCTGAACTGTTATTATTTTTGACATAAGTTAAAAATGTTCTCGTTGAGATTAATAGCATGTCTTTTTATCTCCACTTCCCATGCCAGGGTGCTGATCCCCAACTTTTAGGAAAAGGTCGAGAAAGTGCGCTGTCCTTAGCATGTAGTAAAGGCTACACAGACATTGTCAAAATGCTGCTCGACTGTGGAGTTGATGTAAATGAGTATGACTGGGTGAGTCCATGTACCAAAGATACAATTGCTGTAACAAATTCTGAATTCATTTGGTCTAGGGGAGCATACATTTTATTAAGTACTTAGGAGATTTAACTTATTTATTTATCAATTCACTTATTTATTTGTAATTAAATACTTGGAAGAATAAGATAATTTTACAACTTCAACTATTAGTTCTGACTTAAGTCTTCTTCAGAAAATAAAAAAATTATCTTTAACTACTTTTACAAGCCAATTTCTAATAAAAAAAATTCCCACAGCGGCATTTAGTTGGCTTCTTTTAGGAGGGAATAGGGAGGTTGAACTCAGGGCTAATTGACCCTTGCAAACCTTAAACCTCTAAATCACCTTTTCCTTTGGCAGAATGGAGGGACACCTTTGCTTTATGCTGTACACGGAAACCATGTGAAATGTGTAAAAATGCTCTTAGGTAAGCAGATGAAAAGGAAACAATATTTAGGAAGTGCCATGTGATGATTTTAATTTTTTAATCTGGCCCTCTCTGACGAGTTAGGAGAATCACTGGCTAGTAATCCTACTGCTGTTCTTCCGGGCCAGCTACTACCACATAGATGCCTTCAAGAGAAGTGGCTCTTTCAGACAGCACATCTGCAGGAAGAGCTTTCTCCCTGCTTTTGCCTTGGTCTCACCCTTGAATCTGCTGTTGTTTTCTCTGCACAGGCTCTTTATGCACAGACTGTGCCTTTAATTGTTGATGAGCTTCAACAGGCCTTTTTAAAGTGGTGCTGTTCTAGCCCACCAAAGTAGATTCTGTGTGGCCACCTGAAAATACCCTCCAAATTGCCTAAAAATCGAACCAACTATTTGCACTTGAGCCAGCCACAGAACAACATAGATTCATGTTTTCACTCTATTTGTATAAAATTTTCTATTTTGTTATAGAAAATGGTGCAGACCCAACAATTGAAACTGACTCTGGGTATAATTCTATGGATTTAGCTGTAGCCTTGGGCTACAGAAGTGGTAAGTAGTTCTGAATTTTTTAAACAAGTAAAGCTTTATAAATTGTACATGCTAGTGACCTGAACATTTTCATCACTTATACTCATAAAATATTATATGGTATCCTAACTCCTGACATATGCTTTTAAATGCAGGTAAATAAATTTCTACACAGTTGAGAAATGAATTTGATTCGCATACTTTTTATAACCCCAAGAGAACTGGAGGAAAAGTGCACATGTACTAGCAAGATTTACTTATATTTTATGGCAACTATTTATAGAAAAACCATAGAACAACATTGTGCTTTCTGAATTCTTCCCTTTTAAAATTTTTAAAAATCTTAAGCACAGAAAGTCCAGTAACTTGCACAACTAATCAGACAAAGGTTTGTTTTTAAAAATGCCTTTTTAAATTTTAAGTAGTTGTACAAAGGGGTCTCAATTCAACATATTAGATTGTGAGTACAATGCCTCTGGAGCAATGCCACCCCTTCCATCCTTCTCCCCCATCTTTCCAAGCCCATCCATGCCCTCAAGTGATGTAGTTTAACTTTTCTATAATGGACATTGAACATAATGGCTACATTTGCCCACCCTTCCTCCCTCCATTCATCTTTCCCCATCTCCTTGCATTCTCCACCCCGAATACTGTGTGGCAATACTTGCCATCAAACTATGTGTGTGTCCTACTTAGATGTATGTTTATTTTGGAAAAGCATTGGCGATAAACTGATCTGTCTGTTCTAGTTCAACAGGTTATTGAGTCGCATTTGCTGAAACTACTTCAGAATATTAAGGAATGACCCAGTCCTCAGAAATGCTGTCGGCCCTTCTGCTCCCTTCTTGGTCTTTATAAATGATAGTTTTGTTTACTTATAAATTTTTACCTCAGTTGCAATACTTTTTGATTTTTTAGTAAGTTTTTATTCCTCTTGGTAATTCACTGGTTTATTAAAAAAATTAATGGCAATTTTTTATAAATGTGTTTTATTGTATATTTAAAGTTATAAATTAATGTTTTATGGCATGTAAATTTTTATCATACAGATGGCTATCTGTCTTTGTACAATCTCTGTAATTCGACACTTTCATACATGTTCTGCCCTGCTCAGCCTTACTCTTGTATTTCCATTGAGTCTATGTAGGATTGGTTATAAATCCATAGGGAAAAAAGTGTTACTGTTGAATTAAAAAGTGCACAGTGTACTTGTTTACAAAATGATGTTATAAATAAAGCTTTGTCAGTTTGCATTCTAGTTTTATTACTTATATAAGTTTATTGCCACTAGGTGCTGTCATCCTAGCTACTCCTGAGGCTAAGAGCTGAGAATTGTAGTTCAAAGCCAGCCCAGGCAGAAAAATCTGTGAGACATCTCCAGTTAACCTGCAAAAAGCCTGAAGTAGAGCTCTTCAAGTGGTAGGCAACCAGTCTTGAGCAGGAAAAGACAATGGAGAGCATTTGAGGCCCTTAGTTCAGTATTGGCACTATAAAGAATAAGTGGTGCTGTGGCTCATGCAGTAGAGCACTTGCCTTGAGCTGAAGAGCCCAGGGACAGCACCCAAGCCCAGAGTTCAAGCCCCACAACAACAACAACAACAACAAAAAAGTTTGTTACTAATTTCTTTAGGATTTTTAGCTTCAGCTCTCTGTCCTACAAATCTATCAACACAGGTTTAATAATGGTCATTTCTATAGTGTATTTAGGGTATTTTTATTTCCAAAATTGGCTTTTTAGGAAGAAAAGTTCTGCATGAAAGAAAAGTCAATTTCTTAGTACAAGTGAGATGGCACCTAATTCCACTAAAGGAGCACTATAAATTCTTATTTCCCCAAAATCTATAGAGGCATAAGCTAGAAGTTCATCACTGTGTGTGGGACTTGATTTCTAGTCACTTCATCTGGAAAGTAGATGTTCTGTCAGTTTGGTTGTAAGCAATATAAACTTGAGCTGGCCAATATAAGCAAATGAGAATTAATTGAACAACGACCTTCTCCCCACTATTGTGTTGAAAATATATGTCTCCTTTGTTTCTTTTTTATACATCAATTAGTAGTACACGTCCACATATGCACATAGTTTACCTTGATCCGACTCACCTCCTCTGTCCCAATACCTTATCCCTTTCACTTCCCAAAACAATTGCAACAGGTTTCACTGCTGTTTTTCACACAGGTGCATACAGTATTTTGATTGTATTAACTTTCCTTCAACCTCTTCATTTGCCATCACACACACACATACTGACACCCCAGACAGAATCTGTTTTACCTTCCTGTGATTCATTTTCAAGTGTAAATTGTTCAATGACACTTGTGATATTTCACACGTGCATACACTGTGCTTTTAACCTGATTGACTCTCTTGTGTACTTTCACTCCCCATGCCATGCCTTGTAGCCCCCATTATTCAAGAGCTTTCAACGAGTTTCATTTTCATTCACAGATGCAATGTGTTTTACACTGTTCACTCTCAAACATTCTCTTTTCCTCTATACCCTCGTTACAATCCCCTCAAACACAGACAGCATATATGTATGGTCCTGTATGTGGTTATGTAGATGTTTACTTTTTTAGATCTCGCTTCCACATATAAAAGAAAACATTTAGCCTTTGTCCTTCTGCCTCTTTTGTTTTTTTTGTTTCCAGATATTTCAGCTCATTTCTCTGATAGTTTCCTGTCTTGGAATCACAAATCATTCTTAAGGATATTCTCTGTGTGTGTGTGTGTGTGAGTGTACACGCATGTGCACACACACGCGCGCACTGATACATGGGCTTGAACTCAGAGCCTCTGATTTCTCAGAGCCTCTTGGCCTCTTCACACAAGGATGGTGCTCTACCACTTGAGCTACACCTGCTTTCCCTCAAAGATTATTCTTTATCACAAAAAGGCTGGTCTTGTTAGATTTGGCCTGGTTATTGACATCCAGAGGATGATTTACCTATATAACTATATCAAGTCTTATCTGCAAATTTAGAACCTTGCATCACTGAGAAACTACTAAGGCCAAAAGAAAAGAGTTTTCTTCAACCAGTTTTTATCATGAATCTCAGACTTTTAAACCCCTGAATTGTTTGCTCCTCTACTCCAAAGCTAGATGTCTAAGCCTGATTTTAGTTTCCTTACTGCTAGTAAACCACGGTCATGAAGGCAGACACCAAAATCATTTATGGTGGGGAAGATTACCATAGAGTACTGTACTGAACTGTGCTGAACTGAAAAGAATCTTTGGACTCCTGGTATCCAGAAGTACTGACTTGGTCAGAACTGAAAATCTGAAAGATATTGAAGGACAGCAGCCAGGAAGCCTGTACAGAGGACCAATTTGTAGCATTGGTGGTATCTGGTATACCTTTCAATATGGCTCTCCATGATGTTCTGGAAGTTAGAAGCACCAAGCTTAGAAGAACTAGATATACATCTATTAAAAACAGATAGGATGGGGCTGAGAAGGTGGCTCAGTGGTAGAGTGCTTGCCTTGCATGCATGAGGCTCTGGGTTTGATTCCTCAGCACCACATAAGTAGAAAAAGCTGGAAGTGGCGCTGTGGCTCAAGTGGTAGAGCACTAGCCTTGAGCTGAAGAGCTGAGGGACAGTGCCCAGGCCCAGAGTTCAGGCCCCACGACCAGAAAAAAACAAACAAAAAAAAAAAACAGGCAGGATCAGGAGAATAAATGTCTAATGTAACAATATCCTTCAGAAAATAGATTCTCAATTGTGGTACTCTACGTAATAGTTTCTTTTCTTTTTTTCCCTCCAGTCCTAGGGTGTGAACTCTGAGCCTGGGGAATTGTCCCTGAACTTCTTTTGCTCAAGGCTAGAAACTTCCAGCTTTTTCCTGTAATTAACTGGAGATAAGAGTCTTGCAGACTTTTCAGCCCAGGTTGGCTTCCAACCACAATCCTCAGATCTCAGCCTCCTGAGTAGTTAGGTTTACAGGCATGAGCCACCAGCACCCACCTACATAATAGTTTCATAAACAGACAATATGTCCACTGAGAGAGAACATATTCAAGACAATAAAGATATTAACATAGCTCTAAGCCTTCACTGGTCACTGTGGTGCATGCCTGTAATCTCAGCACTCAGGAGACTGAGGCAGAAAAATTAGAAATTTGAGGCCATCATGAGCTACACAGTGAGATGACCTGTCTACAAGAAAAAAGAGAAAAAATGGAAAAAAGTTTTCAAGGCCTTTCCATAAAACATATATCAACAGCTAAATGCTATTCTCAAAGCACAGGTTGACAGCTATCTTGCAAATATTGTTTCTATTTCTAAATTTAGAATCTTGGGACATTAAATGAAGAAAAAACTTATCAGAGAAGATTTAGATACATTATGTGAATATACCTATAGTAAATATAGAAAGATACAAAGGTTTGGTAAGCCATATCATATTTATTCATAAGACTAATTTATCATTCTAACTTCATATTAATATAAAATTTGTTAGTAAAGATTTTGTAAGCTGCTTTATTTTTCCTTGTTATCTTTATCAAAGATAATCATAACTGACAGAAATTTGCTAGAACACTATCTCATTTATGTAGCTTCTCTTCAGAAAGATATTTAAATCAAGGAAAATAAAATTCCTTTCTTCCTTTACAATTCCTCTGTAGGTCAAGGTTTATATTTCCCTCTAATATTTTATGTTCTGGCACAAACTGCCCACTTTCATCCAGGCCCAAATTACTGTCTTTTTTGTGACATACAAAATTATGTACACATGAATGTTTCTCTGCCCTTATTGAATAAAATCATTTCAATCATCTGTATTAAACACAATTTTAAGCTGAACTAATATTCTATCACAAAAAGCAAGAGGTGAACGGTTAAGAACTACTTTTCAGGACAAAGAATCACAGTTCAAATCCAGCCTCAGCACAAAACTTTGTGAGGCTCTGATCTTCAATTAACTACCAAAAAAAACACAAGTAGTGGGCTAGGAATATGGCTTAGTAGTAGAGTGCTTGCCTAGCATGCCTGAGGCCCTGGGTTCAATTCCTCAGTACCACATAAACAAACAAAAGTCATCAAATATATTATAAGAGGGGTTAAAGGCATGGTTCAGTTGGTAGAGTACTAGCCAATATGCAAAAGCATCAGGTACCCAGTTCAGGTCCCAGTCTTGTAATAAAAGTAAATAAATTAGTTTTTTTTATAAAGCCACAAGTAAAGCTGTGACTCAAGTAGAAGCACGCCAGCCTTGAGTGAAAAAGCTAATAAACAGCACCCAAGACCTAGATTCAAACCCCAATACTGGCATACCAGCACACACATACACACACACACACACACACACACACTCACACACACACACTACATACTACACAGATGTTAACCTCACTAAGTCTAGCACTTTAATAAACAGTGAATCAGATTCCATTTCCCCAGATAATACTTCAATGGCCTTTGTCCCACAAGACATTGAAAGGACTTGTCATTGTGGCCTGTTAGCACTTCAGGGAAACACCAGATGAGGTTAAGGTAATCACACTTATAATTAATCTCTCTTCTTTCATCAGCTAAGAGGTAAACTAATATATATTCACTGAGGTGTTGGTGACAACGCTTTTCTTACAACACCCTCCAAATTAGCCTGCACAATTCACTCTCAAATCACTTCAGCAAGACTTTGAACTCTGAATGAAATAGGTGAATCTTTTAATATTCTTCATGATTAGAAAAATATTGTCTTAATGTATGTTTTAAGAAAAATATAGTAGATGGTTGTAATCATCTAGCTATCATTTTTAAAGTTTGTAGCTCTAAAAATTTCTTTAAAATGTCAGTCTCCTAAACTGTTTCTCCACCTTTTGGCTAAGATCAAATATAGTATCTGTTTTTAATCAATTTAAAATGTCAGCATTCTGACTTTTAGAACACTCTATAAGATTTGTTTACCAGATCTTTCTGTGTATGTGTACTAGTCCTGGGACTTGAACTCAGGGCCTGTGGGCTGTCCTTGAACTTTTTTTGCTTAAAGTTAGTGCTCTACCACTTGAGCCACAGCTCCACTTCCACCTTTTTTTGGTTAGTTAATTGAAGATCAGAGTCTCATGTACTTTTCTGTCCAGGCTGGTTTCAAACCACAATCCTCAGATTTCACCCTCCTGAGTAGCTAGGATTACAGGCGTGAACCTCTAGTGCCTGGCTCTTTTTATTTTTATGAATTAAAAAGTTAAAGCTTTAAATTGTTTTGTTAGAACAATTTGGTCATATAGACATGAATGATGT